CAGTAGCAAAATTACAGTTATGAAGCAGCAACAAAAATAATGTTATGGTTGGGGGTCACCACAACATGAGGAACTGTATTAAGGGGTCGTGGCATTAAGAAGTTTGAGAAACACTGCTCTGAGTGATACGACGATCATCCTGAATCAATCTGTCAACCTTTTGCTTGTGAAACTTGGTGGTTGCTGTCACAGAACATCCAACTCTTTGTTTGTCATGCAAGTCAGATGTTCCCACCTCAACATCTTTAAACTTACTCGCCCAACAACACACAGTACTCACAACAACACAATCGCCATAAACAGCTGGCATTCTCTGATGAATCTCCTTTGGGGTGACACCTTCTGCTTTCAAGAATTCAATTTTATTCTATTATTACTGTTACTATTGCATTTTGATGATTTCACTCTATTATTATTACATTTATTATTTTACTCTCTATTATCTTTTAACTTACTACGTGGAGTGTCATCGGGTCTCGTCAGGCCTCATTGTTCTGTTTCATATTGTGATATGGCCTAAGGGCTAATCAATAAAATTACTACTATTACTCTCTGTTATCATTGGAAACATACATAAGCACATTTACATTGAAGTAGGTTAGAATAAAGGTTTAATCAGAGTTGGGCAATCTTATCTTAAAATACATTTTTATGTAAATACTAGCCGTCCCCTGCCACGCATTGCTGTGGCCCAGTCCATGTATATGTGTTTTGTGTGTGTATATATGTGTGTATTTATATATTTATTAGGCTTGGCGGTTTCGTTCGTTAATTTCGTAATTCGTTATTAATTCATATTTAAATTAGCTTACGATCCAATATTGAGCCATGCAGGAATAGTGTGAGGAGTAAATTAGATTCGAAACAATTTTTTCAATTTATTTCGTAATTATTTCGTAATTATTTTCGCATGCCTGGTGCAAGTTTTATAGTTGTTGTTTGTTTTATCACACCAGCAGTCAACAACAGAGGGAGAGGGAAGTTTCAGAAGTTCCCACGGTCCCATTTGGAGGTTTTTTCAGCATATTGCGCAATCGCGTCCGCCATTAACGAATCGATTCGTAATTATACGAAATTTCATATATTTTGAAATTTTTAAAAGGAAAATTTCGGAATTATTAAAAAAAACGAAACGCAAGGGCCCCCTAAAAACAAAACGAGTTTAGAACCAAATTTTTCCATGGTTACCCAAGCCTAATGTATATGTGTATTTATGTGGTTATGCGCATGCGTTGTAATGTTTTGGTTTTTTTGCTTTTTAAGTCTCTTCTGCTGTGTTTTTCAGTGTTTTTATGAGTGACTGTGGCCAAACCTTTTCTCCCTCCCTCTTTCTTTCCTTTCTTTTTCTCCTTCCTTCCCTCTTTTTCTTTTCCTTCTTCTTTCCCATTTTCTTTCTTCCTTCTCTACCTGTTTCTTTCCTTCCTTCCTTTGCTCTTTGGTTCCATCCTTCCTTCTCTATTTCCTTCCTTCCCTCCCTCCCTCCCTCTTTCTCTCTTTTGTTCTTTCTCTCCTTCCTTCCCTCTCTCTTTCCTTCCTTCACTTTTTATTTCCTTCTCTCCTTTCCCTCTTTCTATCCCTCCTTCTCTCCTTCCTTCCTTCCTTCCTTCCTTCCTTCCTTCCTTCCTTCCTTCCTTCCTTCCCCCTTTCTGTGTATATGTGTTTTGTGTGTGTATATAAGCATATATGTGTGTGTATATATTTGTGTATGTGTGTTTGTGTATATATGTGATTTTGTGCACGCGTTGTAATTGGTTTTTTGTTTTTTTTTTGGCTTTTAAAGTCTCTCTTGCTGTGTTTTTCAATGTTTTGTGAGTGATGGACACTCATTGGCCTGACAGGTGTATTGTGTCCAAATTTGGTGTCAATTCACCCAGTGGTTTTTGAGTTCTGTTAATCCCACAAACTAACATTACATTTTTATTTATATAAAGATTCAAAAACACTGAACCTACTGATGGCTAACTTAATGTAATTTTATTGGTATCTATTTTTATTTTGAACTTTAGCAATAGCTGCTGCATTTCCCACCCTCAGCTTATACTCGAGTCAATACGTTTTCCCAGTTTTTTGTGCTAAAATTATTCGGTTTGGTTTATACTCAAGTATATACGGTATTAAACTGGAGGCATTTTTGCCCAATTCCTTTTTTGCTGTGGGTTATTTTAATGGAATCCTCAACAACAACAAAATACAATTACAACTCTCTTCTGGCGGCTGCCAAAACATACTGCAAGACAGATTCAGTCCCAATTTGGGGGGAAGACAAAAGTATAAATGACAGAACAACAACAGGAAGGGAAAGATAATTATGGCAAGAGGAGCTGCCTAGAATGATGAATCCTCCCATTCCAAAGTTCTGAAAGCCCCTCTCCACAGATTTATAGGTTATCCGGGAAGGGAGATGCATAGCTCTGACGAACCATTGTGCAAAGGATTACAAAATAATTCTGGCAACAATATGGGGAAGTAAGTACCGCCTGTTCAAAATACCAGAGACTTTCTGCTTATCAAGCCTCTCTGAAAAGAAGTTCAAGAAACTAGGAGTTGTATATGATAGCGACAGAAAGCAACACAGTACACTCCTTCTGAATAAGCAAGCAGACAAATATGGGTGCCGGAGGCAGTCGCATACTGATTATAAAAGAATTCCTATTCTGCAGCTCTATGCACACCCCTCCCATCAGAAAAGGACAGAAACCTGATAAATGTAGCTGGAATACACAATGAAGCTTTTGTCGCTCAAAGACTTGCTGGAAGAAAAGAAACTTACCAAGGGACATAGATGGGAGGAAGCCCGTTAGTGTGCTCCAGGGGAGAAAGGCGGAAGCAGAGAAAAGACTACTATTACAGCATCCACCCACACAGGACACAAAGACCCAAGGTCCCACACAAGGATTCATAGCCAGAGCTTTGATACATCAGGTGCAAAATAGAATGGACAAATGATACTAAGCCATGATCAAATAGCAAACTTAATGCTGCCAACAATGCTGCTGGGATCCAACCTTGTCATACGTATTTTGGGTCATATTTCGACTTTGATTTTCAAAGTAGCAGTGCATTACATGGATACACGGTGAAGATAAAGAGTCAAAACAAGTCAGCGTTTCTGTGAGGTTTCTGGGCTGTATGGCCATGCTGCAGAAGCATTCTCTCCTGACATTTCACGCACATCTATGGCAAGCATCCTCAGAGGTTGTGAGGTCTGTTGGAAACTAGGCAAGTGAGGTTTATATATCTGTGGAATAATGTCCAGGGTGGGAGAAAAGATTCTTGTCTGCGTAAGGCAGGTGTGAATGTTGCAATTGGCCACCTTATTTATTAATTAATTTATTTATGACATTTACATGCCACCCTTCTCACTCTGAAGGGGACTCAGCGGCTTACAAGTTATATGTACATGCATTATATTATAAGTATTAGCATAGCACAATATTAGTATTATATATTATTATATTGTTTATTTATTTATCGTGTCAGGAGCATTTTTTAACAAACAAACAAACATACATACATACATACAAAACACAAAGTTTGCAAGCTTGGCAGTTGATTAAATGTCCTTTGACTAGTAGCTGGCCACTTGGAGTGCCTCTGGTGTTGCCGCAAGGAGGTCCTCCATTGTGCATGTGGCGAGGCTCAGGTTGCATTACAGCAGGTGGTCTGTAGTTTGCTCTTCTCCACACTCGCATGTCGTGGATTCCACTTAGTAGCCCCATTTCTGAAGGTTGGCTCTGCATCTCGTGGTGCCAGAGCGCAGTCTGTTCAGAGCCTTCCAAGTCGCCCAGTTTTCTGTGTGCCCAGGGGTGAGTCTCTCATTTGATATCAGCCACTGATTGAGGTTCTGGGTTTGAGCCTGCCACTTTTGGACTCTCGCTTGCTGAGGTGTTCTAGTGCGTGTCTCTGTAGATCTTAGAAAACTATTTCTTGATTTATATTGTACTATACCACTATACTGCAATATTATTACTAATAGTACATGTAATATATAATATACAATTATTATATTGTATTATTATTAGTATTATATTGTATTACATTATAATTCTGTAATCAATATTATATGTATATACAATATATTTTATTATTAGCACAGCACAGCTTGATTAGCATCTAACAGCCTTGCATCTTCAAAGCCTGGCTGATTGCTGCCTGTGGGAATCCTTTGTTTGGAGGTGTCAGCTGTCCATGATTGTTTCTTGTCTGGAATTCCCTGTTTCCTGAGTGTTCCTCTTTATTTGCTATCCTGGCGACAAAACATGCCCCCCCCCCCCCCGGCACCAAGCAGACAGGCTTTGAAGCTGCAAGGCCATTCAGTGCTAATCAAGGTGGCCAATTGCAACATTCACACCTGCCTCAAGCAGATGAGAGTTCTTCTCCACCCTGGACATTATTCCACAGATATATAAACCCAATTTTCCTAGTTTCCAACAGACCTCTCAAACTCTGAGAATGCCTGCCATAGATGTGGGCAAAACATCAGGAGAGAATGCTTCTGGAACATGGCCAGACAGCCATGTTCCAAAACTCACAGCAGCTCAATGCTTGCAGCCATGAATGCCTTCGAAAAAAAAAAAAGAGCCCTAGTTTCCCAATTCAGTAACAAGGAACTGGAGAATTTCATCATTTTGGAAAAGTTGTTTCATATAGGATAAAGGTTTAGGAGAGGAAAAGAATAGCATTTTCCAATTAGCTTTACAGTTATAATATTACTCCTTATAGAAAGAGAAGGGCACAATCCAAAGAACCAGGCAGGGAAATTAGTTCATAAGAAAGACATATCTCAAATTGCTCCCTGCAATCTTGTTTTAAAGTTTTAAAACTTTTCTCCTATATTACTGCCTACTTCTATCCATACATTAAGATTCATAGCACTTCCACAGCTGCTAGAATAGTAAACAGAGTGTTATTTCCGAAAACTGCTCTTACAACTGGAGGAGTATTTCTATACTTGTGCAAATCCTTGCTCTTTCGTCCAAAATGCCATTTCACATACTCACCAGCTGGTATTCACTCCTGCGGCTAAAAGCTTCTTTGATCCCAGAATCCTTCCACAGACCAATCAAGGCAGGCACATACAGCTGGAACAGAGAGGGTTCAATGGGCATCCCAGCCCTGTTTTCAAAAGCCATCAGAAACATCCCATGCTTCTCATTCTCGGTGTACTGCCAAGGAATGCCTAGTTTGTCCCGTGCATCGACTAGAACCCTGCAGCCCTGAAAAAGACAGAAAACACACATTCAGTGATGTTCAAATACATTACAATATGACATTTGGGGCATAGTATTTATTATTTAAATATTGACTACTCCCAAACTCAGGACAAAGTGTGTAATACCCTTTTGTCTTCCCCTTTTTTCAACTATCAATATCCAATTACTGCATATATTCGAGTATAAGCCAACCCGAATATAAGCTGAGGCACCTAATTGTATCACAAAAAACGTATTAACTCAAGTATAAGCCGAGGCTACTGGTAAATTTCAAAATAAAAATCTATATAAATAAAAAATGAATGTTCGTTTGTGGGATTAACATATTTCAGAAACCACTGGATGAATTGACACGAAATTTTGACACAATACATCTAACAGTCCAACAAGTGTTCATCACCCCCCAAAATTAAAAAAAAAACCCTCAGCAGAATGGACTTAAAACCCCCCAAAATACACCATATATATGCACGCACGCACACACACACACACACACACACACATGCACATACGAATATATATACCCAAGCACACACAAATATACACATGCACACAACATACACATATATAAACACAAATATGCATAAAGACAAGCACACACATATACACAATATACATATGCACTTATAAACACACAAATATATACATACATATATACACATCCACACACACACATATGCACACACATACCCGCCACACACATATCTGTTGATATCTATACCTATACCTATATACACACACACACACATACACAGATACACAAATATATACACACATATAAACATATATACACACCCACACAAAACACATATATACAGACTGGGCCACAGCAACGTGTGGCAGCCCAAAAGGTGATTCGGAGCGGTTTACAACTGTTAAGTCATTGAATAGCAACAATTCAATGCCTTAACAGTCATAACAATTAAAAACATAACAATCATAAAATACCATTAAAAACATCAACATACAATATAAAAATATAAAAACATTGTAGTAAAATAAGAGATGTAATAATAACAATAATAAAGAAAGTAAAATTTATTTATTTATTTATTTACTGCATTTGTTAACCGCCGTTCTCAGCCCTAGGGCGACTCACGGCGGTGTACAACATATAAAAACACAATTTACAATAAGGCAATAACACAACAAAATATCAACATAACTATCAATAATACAACAATAATACAAATTACACTAAATCATCCGCGCCGTCTCATCTTAGAATCATAAACCAATCTCGTAATCCATATTCCGTTCCAGTCGTCATTGCCAATTGTTGAAGCACTTAGTTAAACGCCTTCTCAAATAACCATGTCTTTAGGCTCTTGCGGAATGACATAAGGGAGGGCGCCTGTCTGATGTCTACAGGGAGGGTGTTCCACAGCCAGGGGGCCACCACCGAGAAGGCCCTATCTCTCGTCCCCGCCAGACGTGCCTGTGAGGCAGGCGGGATCGAGAGAAGGGCCTCCCCAGACGATCTCAAGGCCCTCGTGGGCTCATAGGCCGAGATGCGGTCAGAAAGGTATTTTGGGCCGGAACCGTTTAGGGCTTTGTAGGCCAACACCAGCACCTTAAATTGGGCCCGGTAGCAGATCGGCAGCCAGTGGAGTTGGAACAACAAGGGCGTTGTGTGCTCCCTGCGTCCCGCTCCTGTTAGTAACATGGCTGCCGCGCGCTGGACTAGCTGAAGCTTCTGGGTTGTCTTCAAGGGCAGCCCCACGTAGAGAGCGTTGCAGTAGTCAAGGCGGGATGTGACCAGAGCGTGTACCACTGTGGCCAAGTCAGACTTCCCGAGGTACGGGCGCAGCTGGCGCACGAGCCTAAGCTGTGCAAATGCTCCCCTGGTCACCGCTGAAACCTGGGGATCCAGGCTCAACGATGAATCCAGGATCACACCCAAGCTGCGAACCTGCGCCTTCAAGGGGAGTGTGACCCAATCCAGCACAGGCTGTAACCCTATACCCTGTTCGGCCTTGCGACTGACCAGGAGTACCTCTGTCTTGTCTGGATTCAATTTCAGTTTGTTCGCCCTCATCCAGACCACTACAGCGGCCAGGCACCGGTTCAGGACCTCGACAGCCTCCTTAGTAGCAGGTGGGAAGGAGTGACAAAGTTGGACATCATCTGCGTACAGATGACACCGCACCCCGAAACTCCGGATGATCTCACCCAGCGGCTTCATGTAGATATTAAACAGCATGGGGGACAGTATAGAACCCTGTGGAACCCCACAGGTCAAAGGCTGTGGTGTTGAACAGACAGGTGTCCCCCAATAACACCTTCTGGGTGCGCCCCTCCAGAAATGACTGGAGCCACTGCAAAACAGTGCCCCCAAGGCCCATTTCCGCAAGGCGCCCCAGAAGGATACCGTGGTCGACGGTATCGAAGGCCGCTGAGAGGTCCAGGAGCACCAACAGGGACACACTCCCCCTGTCTAGCTCCCGGCGCAGATCATCCACTAAGGCGACCAAGACCGTCTCAGTTCCATGTCCCGGTCTGAAACCAGACTGTGCCGAATCCAGATAATCCGTGTCTCTCAAGAATACCTGGAGTTGTGAGGCCACCACGCTTTCCATGACTTTGCCCAAAAAGGGGAGATTGGAAACAGGCCGAAAGTTGTCAAATTTAGTGGGGTCCAGTGATGGTTTCTTCAACAGCGGTTTTATAATAGCTTGTTTTAAGCTCGCTGGAATCTTGCCTTCCCGAAGGGAGGCATTAACCACCACCGTTACCCACTCAGCCAATCCCCCTCTGGCCTCCTTCAGAAGCCAGGATGGGCAGGGGTCTAGGATGGACGTGGTGGGCCTCATTCCTCCAAGTATCTTGTCCACATCCTCGGGCTTCACAAACTGAAAAGAATCCATCAAAATAGGACAAGCAGGTGCTCGTGTCACATCCTCAGAGACTGCATTTAACATGGTGTCCAGCCCAGAACGGATCAAGGCGACTTTGTCTGCAAAGAACTGAGCAAATGCTTCGCAGCGCGTGACCGAATTGTCAGGGCTCCCGCCTGAGGTGGCGGGAGTTAAAAGACCTCTGACAATCCGGAACAACTCCGCCGGACGGTTTCTTGCAGACGCAATAGTGGCCGCAAAGAAAGTTTTCTTTGCGGCTTTTATTGCCGCGGCATATGCCCTTAAAAAGGACACAAACCGTGTTCGATTTGACTCGCTTGGGTCTGAACGCCACACGCTCTCTAGTTCCCTCTTCCTTCGCTTCATCACTGCCAGCTCCTCAGTAAACCAAGGGGCTGGTTTAGCTCGGCTACTTGAGAGGGGACGTTCCGGAGCGATCATGTCAATTGTCCTGGCCATCTCCCCATTCCAGAGAGCGACCAAGGCCTCGACATGGTCACCTACCGAGGTGGCGGGAAAATCCCCAAGAGCCGTCAGGAATCCATTCGGATCCATAAGCCTCCTGGGGCGGACCATCTTAATGGGTCCTCCACCTTTGCAGAGGTTGGTGCAGTGAGTCTAAATCTGATCAGGAAGTGGTCAGTCCATGGCAACAGAGAGATGGACAACTCCTCCACACCGCCACCGTGCTCCCATCCCTGGCAGAAGAGATGGCCAACTCCTCAACACCGCCACCCTGCTCCCATCCCTGGCAGAAAACCAAGTCCAATGTGTGTCCAGCACAGTGGGTGGGGCCAGATATTTGTTGGGACAGCCCCATGGTTGCCATGGCAGACATGAAGTCCTGAGCCGCTCCTGTGAGGGTCGCCTCGGCATGGATATTGAAGTCCCCCAGCACGAGAAGCCGTTGAGACTCCAACGCCAGGCTCGAGACTACCCCCGCTAGCTCAGGTAGGGAGACTGTAGTGCAGCGAGGTGGACGGTACACTAGCAGAATCCCTATTCTGTCCCGGTCACCCACCCTCAGGTGGACGCATTCAAAATTTGTGGTCTGCGGGATGGGACTCCTGGTCAGATGGATGGAATCTCTCTAGACCACTGCGACCCCGCCTCCCCGTCCTCCGGATCTCGGTTGGTGCTGTACGGAGAAGCCTGGAGGACAAAGCTGGGTAAGATTTACGCCTCCAGCTTCATCCAACCAGGTCTCCGTGATGCACGCCAGATCTGCCCGCTCATCCAGGATTAGATCCTGGATAAAGGTCATTTTTCCGTTGACAGATCTGGCGTTCAACAGCACCACCTTCAATCAATAAATGTAATAATAATACAGTAAAATAATAAATTGAATATAATAATAATAATAATAACAACAACAACAGAGTAAAATAATAAATAACTTTGACTCCAGTGTAAGTTGGGGGGGGGGGGGCTTTTTCAGCCTTAAAAAGGGATGAAAAACCCAGCTTATATTCAAGTATATACGGTACTTTTCCATATGTCTAGAAGTCCTATGTTCTCATGTTGGCTGTTTTGCAGCTTCTGATATCTCTGAATAGGAAAAATTCAATAAATGTTCAGAAACAACTACACCAAGTACCACAATGTTTGAAGAAAAAGGATGACAGCACATGTGCATGTTGAAAAGTGGTCTGGAATCACAATTTCTACCAACTCATTTGCTTTTGCTGTGAAAGGAAATATATGCTGGCATTTTATGCAATGTCCCTAATACAGGCTGAATAGCCAATCCTCAGGACTCAATTATTTATCCCCAGTCCTTTAAGTTATCCTTTCTCTGGCACAAGTATTTTCCCCAAGCAGCCAGGAGCAATGATTCCCCTTTTAGAAAGTCTGCAGAGAATCCAATTTTGATGAACCAACCTGGACACAGCATATTATTTGAGAACACAGAAATGCTGGACCACTCTCACAACTACCATGGGAGACTACACAGAGAAGCCATTGAAAGCCTCAACCACGTGGACAATTTCAACAGAAAGGAGGAAACAATGAAAATGAACAAAATCTGGCTACCAATATTTTTAAAAAACTCTAAAATCAGGATAGTAAATAAAGAGCAACACTCAGAAAACAGGGGAATTCCAGACAGGAATCAATCGGGGCCAGCTAACACCTCCAAACAGA